TAAGGTATATATTACATCTATTTCCATATTTTAATACTATTGATACCAAGGTATATATTACATCTATTTTCATATCCAATGCTATTGGTTCTAAGGTATATATTACATCTATTTCCATACCTCATACTATTGATACCAAGGTATATGTTACATCCATTTCCATACCTAATACTATTGTTAAAGGGTGTATATTACTACTTATATAAATACTTTTGGTAACAGGGTGTACATTATGCTATTTCCATACCTAACACTATTGGTACCAAGGTATATACTACATCTATTTTCATACCTAATACTATTGGTTCTAAGGTATATATTACATCTCCCTCCATACCTAACACTATTGGTACCAAGGTATATATTACATCTATCTCCATACCCAACACTATTGGTACCAAGGTATATATTACAACTATTTCCATATCTAATACTATTGGTACCAAGGTATATATTACATCTACTTCCATACCAATACCCAAAACTATTGATACTAAGGTATATATTACATCCATTTCCATACCAATACCTAATGCTGTTGATACCAAGGTATATATTACATCAATTTCCATATCTAATACTTTTGGTAACAGGGCATCTATTGCATCTATCTCCAAACCTAATAATTTCAGTGCTCACACTCTTAATGTGATTTGCCAATGTCTATTTCATTTATTTACACCTTTGGTTTGTGTGCAGGGTGAGAAGAAAAAAAAAAAGTAATAGTTTACTACTACCACCACCACCACCACCACCACCACCACCAGAGTAAGCCAGCCAAAGAGTGTTGTAGGTGCATTATATTTTATCAGTCTGGAGAACAAAACAAACTCAAATTTTTTGCCACATATACCAAGCAAGAGGGTGGGTGGGAGTCTCTGGATAAAATCTGATACATAGCTTTGATGTATGTATTTTTGCCCATGCATGTTCCTTAGTTTTTTTACATTGTGTGAAATGAGTGCATGTGTGGGAGGTAGTCTGTGAATATAAAAAAAAAAAATAATTTCTCGATGTAATACCACCTTGAAGAATGCAAAATTACATTCAACCACAAGTGTTAAATTAAAAACCTTGTTCTGCTCTTTCGCAGATTATCAAGTTACATTGCTTTTAAGTTATAAACACTGCTTACCATTTATATCTCCATCCAAGTACCTTTTGGTAATACCACAGTCAGCAGGCGTTCACATAATAAAATAGTGGTCCAACTCAGGAGCCAATCGGTGACAGCTTTAAAGTTGGATCACACTTTTAGTTTCAAAAACCATGGGAAATTGTTCTACGTGTTGTTAGGTGTTTGTATGCAAAAGATTCTTCCACACAAAAATGACAAATTCGGCCAAATTTTGTTAGCAGTTAGCTCAACGTTACCCCAATGGATTGGCTGTGAATGTTTTTTTCCCTCGATTTGTAGGAATCTGAAAAACTCATTTCTCAATTTGTCTCTTTATTTAGTTTTATATACTGTATTAAAGATGGCGGCCCACATATAGTAAATATTGATAAATTGCATTTATTTTATTATCACATGCACGCCAGCTGACTATGGGCAATACCTACATATTTCTGTCAATACATTATTTACATTAACTCTTATTGGCTGAGCCCTGTGATGATATTTTTTTTGTTCATGGCTGAAAGTCTTGAACGTCTGTCATAACATCACATGTCAATTTATAATTTCAAAACACAACTATGATCTTGTAGTGCAACTACAGTCCGTTATAATTTACAGCCAGTTGCTGCAGAATTTCATGAACGACTGCTATACAACTTCCAACTAAGCTGGTATCAGACAAGTTCAGTGTTTCCTGAGGCCATTTTTTACTACCTTAATCACAGCAAGCACATAATGCTAACTCACTTGGTTATGCTCTCTCTAGCATTAGGAATTGAGATTTTTTTTCCCCAAAATCTGAAGAATTAGTAAAAATTCACCCTAATAAGTATATGGGAAATATTTGCCATTTTTTCTTTTCTTTCAATTTTACTTATACTTAACACAATCCAAAGAGCTGTGCTTGTCTGGGTGTGTACTATACATTTCTGTGTCGCTATCATTGGAATGGTTTCCCTCATAGGAAATATTACTGACAAAAGTTGCAGCAGTTATCCTTTATGCATTGCCAGCAGTCTCAGCCGCTCCAAAGCCAAGGAATAAAGAAACAAGATAAAAGATAAATAAAATAAAGGTCTGTTTTTATTTTTGGCTGAAGTGTGAGGCTATGTACAAGTATGAACTTCAGAAACCATAAAAACATTCTTCAGAGTAGCACCATTTCAAGTTTTGGCCAATCACAGTCAAGTTAACAAGGTCTACATTACTAATAGCCAATCATCAGTCACCTCTCAATAGCTTCCTTACTTCTGATAGGTTGGTTTGGTTTATGTGCAAAATAAGGCTGTTCAAGTCCAAGACAAAACTGTTATAAATAACTGGCTCACAAGATGTGGATTTTTATATAATTTCTGTTCAACATGATTTTTTTTTCAAATATAAGAAAACTTTCACAAACAATAACATTTTCTGTTGTCAATGACTAAACAATGAAGTTTTAGAAACTGGTTATCTAAACAAATGTAATTAGATGTTGGTATTATTTGAATAATAGTAAAACAAACAGGCACTCTTTTTGTATCTTAATATATATTCAATCTGGTTACAAAAAATGCTTGTGTTTAACTACTTCTTTTAGAAATACAATCAATTTGTACAAAGCCAACATGGAAAAACAAGATACAGGATGAACTGCTCAGAATACATAACCAGTTTCACTAAAATGTCAGCACAAGTTGTCATTGGTGTTTTACGTTGTTGAGCCCAACCTGATTACAATATATAAATAATGTTACTCCCAAATTGTAATTTCTAATTAACATATATTTGTGAAAATACCATGGATATGTGGCATTGTAAAACAGATGACACCAAAGTTCTGGGTTAGTAATGGAGGAATGGGTAAGCAAAAAACATGCAATATTTCTTGTCAAATTTTAAGCATATCGTATGATCAGGCTCTGCTAATTTGCATGTGTACAAGATATTGCTGTCAACATTGTTGAGGAGAAATAATACTTTCATCTCTATGAAAAGTTTAGTGAAACCATTTTACCTTTTCACTACCAGACTCTCTCGCCCAAATTTTTCTGCACTTTTATATTTTATTCAATATTTCAGGAAATGAAACCCAATTTTGGAGCCTACAAACAAATTTGAGTCAATTTTCACTCAAAAAATGTTTTGCTAATTTTGTCTCAATTATTTGAACGAAAGTGCAGACTATAAACAGGACTATTTTGTAAAATTGTGATGAAAAGAGGAACTGGTGGTGAAAAGGTTAATATACAGGGATCATAATGATGGAACGTAACTGATCTCAGCTCTGGGGAGAGCATTAGAACACTAAGGATTGAATGTAGTATGTCATTCGTACTTCAAAAAGGATTCACAGAAAAGAAGGTATGTGTGAGTATCAAGGAATGATATATTTGGAAGGAAAGAATCCTAAATAAAACTATGATGCATCACCATCACCCTTGGAAACCAGCATGAGAAACCCCTCTTCCATTCCCATATTATATCCCTTGCTTGAGGTCCTTATTGTAATAGTGAACTTGGAGGTTTAAATACAGCTTGTAAATTTCAAAGAAATTTATCAAATTATAATGTGAATAATACCAATACCAGAAGAACATGTCACGTTAAACAAGCAGCATAAAGCAAAGAAAGTGCATAATAGGTAGCAACTTGCAGTCACAGTTTGTGCGTTTGGACAAAAATGGGAATTTACAGTTATGAGAATATATGACATCATTTACTCTTTCACTAATGATACACTATATGGTAATTTACAGATGAACCAGTGACATCATTTCCTGGTCCAAATGATGCACTGTGGGAATTTACAGATAAACCAGTGACACCATTTCCTGTCCCAAATGATACACTATATGGTAATTTACAGATGAACTAGTGACATCATTTCCTGTTCCAAATGGTGCACTGTGCGAATTTACAGATGAACCAGTGACACCATTTCCTGTCCCAAATGATGCAGTGTTGGAATTCCCAATTCCCGTCAGACTCAATGTAAATCTATTTGCACATGCGTTAGCAACAAGCGAGAGTAGGACAAAAATATAGAACGTCAAAAGAACACCAGTAGAGTAGACATGCAACCCGGAAGAAGTCAGCGTCATATTTGAAACAGATAGTGGAGTGAGTGTGGGTGGGTACAAACGAGGGCAGCTAGAAAAACTATTCAAGACAGCTGAGAAACGTGGATTTCAGTTGAAAAAGACGATTTTTCAGAGAAAATGGATTGAAATAGAGTTAGTACTTGTGTTTTGCTGAGTAAATATGATTGTGACATAGTTTTTCAACTCCCAAAATACCCACAAAAAATATGAAAATATTACGCTATAGCAAAAGATAATTTACATTATGCTTGCTTAGGCAGAATAGTGTGCAAATTTTCAGAGACTGGTGTGAGTTAGTTGGAAGATGATGGCAGTTTTATTTGAGGGGAATTTTTACGTTGCAAGTTGGCAACATTGATGTTATGTGCACTGTGACTCTGCGCATTTGGAACGTTCAAAATCTGTCCTACCTTCCTGTTTGTTGACCTCACATCATGCAATATGCACAAACGATAAATGCGCAAACACTATCAATTTGGGAATTGGGAATTTACAGATGAAACAGTGACAAATGATGCACTGTGGGAAATTTACAGATGAACAGAGACATTATTTCCTATTTTCTAAAGAACAATTGAATGAATTTACAGGAAGTAAATATTGGGAATTATACATGGACAGATGACAATTCAGTTGTAGAATGGGAATTCATCAGGGTGTATGTACTGTAAAATACTTTATTTTCGCTTAGAATTAATTTTCGCTATATTCGCTGAAGGGATGATTCAGTGAAAATAAAATCAAGCGAATATATCTTTTTTCCTATATTTTACATTCAACTCATCAAAAATCAGTGAAAATAAATTCCATACAAAACATTCAAAAAGTCTATTCAGTGAAAATTAATTCCAGCTAAAATAAAGTATTTTACAGTAATTATCATAAATCAACAAGAACAATTCAAACAACTATTATAAATTCAGAATCCACATCCATCTGTGAATACTGGACAACTGTAGCATTTGCTCAAACACTTTCATTTTCAGATCAAGGAGATATAATTTGTATATTTCTGAAGGACTTGATCAAAATTAGCGATTGTGGGAGGTGGTTTATAGTTGTAATGAGGAGATGGTAATCTATTATGTAAAAAGATGGCAAATGGTGGGGGATGTCGATGAAAGGCATAGTTTTGGACTTGTATAGGTGTTGTCATGACAACCTAAACAGAACTGGAAGAAGAATAGAAAAGTCATGGAAGGGAAGGAAGTACTAGTAAGTAAAAACAGAAGAATAAAAAAATCCCTGGTGCACTGACATTTCGCAGATTGTCAAGAAATAGACATTTACAAAAACACAGAAAACATACCTCTAAAATATGGAATGTCTAAAGTTTGGCCAGGAGGCACAGTAGAATATATTAACTTGCATTACTCAAGTATTCTAATGGGGCTAGTTTGTGGATGGCCATAATCTTGCATTCTTCAACTTAACACCTCCTGGTTCTGCTATCCCCACTTTGGTACCTTCCCACCCACTTGTAGGACAACCAGTGATGTTCATTCAACAATGTACAGATGTGTGATGAACATATCTGGTATTAAATACAGAATACATCTGAGCAGTTCATCAGCAACAACATGATGTCACTAGTGGCTTTTGTTGACCGGGTTTAACCATTCATTTCTGAGAGGTGAGGAGGGGTAGAAGGTCTTTCCACAGAAACACACACAGTTTAGGTCATTTATTTTGGGATATGGACACTTGCACTGCAATAGCAGCAATGGTAAGCAGTTAGCTGGGTCAGAAAATGCAAACATTATGTAGTTCATGTTGTACCATCAATTTTTAAGCAACAATTGAAGTTAAATTTTTCCCAAGAGGCATTACATTTGGAAGATGAAATGCAGAATATTTTGAAAAATATCAGATGGAAACACTAACACAGCAATAATGCAATTTCAGTCAACAATTTTACATCCAGTTGGAAATAAACAAAATTGTTTGGAAGCATTATTTCAAAGAACTTGATGAATGGAACATTTCTCATTAGAATGAAGACTGGACAGATAATGCTTTCAGATAATATCCATCATAACCATTTACAGTCACATTATGGAGACATGCGCCCTTGAACAATCACACCTTTGGTGGAGAGATGTGTCACCATGACCAGTCGCACCATGGGAGAGCAAAACACTACATCGGACAAACAAATTCTAGTTTGAATAAAATTCAATCTTGGTAAAAAGAAACCATGTATCAACCAACTCCAACAACCTCTTGAGATTTGAATTAACTTAGGTCTGAACTACAAAATTGAAGACAACTTCTCCCTGCCACCCAAGATCACCCTTCAGATGTCATGGTTTTACCCAAGTCAACAGCAAACACTAGAGGAAGAATCTACACCTGTCCATTCTTCCTCCTCATCTGTATCTGATAAGTTCTCATCATCCGTATGTAAAACATCGTCTCCACTGCCACTGCTTAGTTCTTGTCCGTCTAGTCCTCCAGTGTTAGTACAACCATCCACAGCTTTTGTTGCTTCTGATTGTTCCGACTGCTCATCCACAGTGCTGAATATTAATCGCACCTGATGAAGATATGAAGATCAGTCAGTGATATCATTAACTACTGAAACGTCAAGCAGTAAAGTGAACAATGGCAAACATCCCATCTTAATACGACAATTTTCAAAGTACATGTACCTGTACAGGTGCAAAAGATGAGGTCCCTTTTTCTCTTAAGAACAAGTCATTGAAAATGACACAGTCCCAGTTAAATTTTTGAAAGTTCTCTTTGTGCTCGTCATATTAAAGTGGAGGGGTTGTTGCGAGCGTGTCCTTGAAACTTGAGTCCCAAGTGGCAAATACAACAGATTGTTTATTTACATCACATTCGAACATGTGTTGCATGACAACCCCTCCAGTTTAAGACATAGCAAAGAAATCATAAGTGAAAGTAAATTATAATATGACCAGTGTGAATCTAGCCATCTGATTGGCTGACGCCAGGGTTTATATCTGACAATATATGACTCGGGCCCTGTTTGATGAATAATTAATAAAACAAAAACTGGAATAAACTGGATTGAAATATGATAAATATTGTCTGCAAGTCACTAGCAGCATTTTCAGAACATAGTAATTATGTCAGACGACGAGCCTCAGATCAATTTTGATCTCAATTTCAAATGGAACCAGCTGGATGAAATTGACGCTACTGATGAAGAACTTCTTCAAGCTACAATTAAATGGGAGCAACAGAACACCGGCGGTAATAACGAGCCAGATCAACAGATGGTGTCTGCCGAAGGGCAAAGATTGCCAGAATTTTCTGAAGAAATGGTCGACAACTTGGCAGCAAAGAAAAATGAAGTGAATACTAACGTCTCCGCAAAACCGGGTGTGAAATTACGCAAATGTAAGTGTGATAAAAGTAAAAAAAAAAAAAAAAGACATATCGTAACTATGGTTTGTAAACAATGCGTTGAACGTTTGACCCCATGATGACCCAATTTCCGTACTGAAATTATGGTTTTTTTGTATAGTGTGGTGTTCTGAATGGAAAATCGACC